TTTGAAAGCAAACCATGCCGTGAAATATGTGAAGCCTATGGTTTGTGTCATGTATCTAACTATCTAGGTAGAATACCTAAAAGTAGATGTTGTACAAACTACAAAGTTGTGGTTTATAGAATCTGGCAGACCTCCCCCGCCCCCTGTCTCCTATTTCTGCCGCCCCCCCCTCGCCCCTCCGTTCCCCGTTCCCCCACTTCCCGTTCTCCCATTCCCCGTCCCCCCATTCCCCGTTCCGGGTTTTAAAGATAGCCGGTTTCAGTCTATTTTACGTTTTTCGACAGAGAAGACGATCTTTTTGCCTGTATTCAATCTACAAACACTAAAAACAAGTTTACTAGTCGTATTTTACTCGTATTCTACTCGTATGTACTCGTATGTACTTGTGTTTTACTCGTATGTACTCGTGTGTTACTCGTATGTATTTGTATGTTACTCGTATGTTACTCGTATATACTCGTATGTTATTCGTATGTACTTGTGTGTTACTCGTATGTACTCGTATGTACCTGTGTGTTACTCGTATGTTACTCGTATGTACTCGTGTGGTGTTTTAGTCACGATCTACTAGACCACGACATAATTTGTCGCAGGCACTCTAGAGAAGATCACGCTTACCATCTTGTATTCTTTTTTCAGCTGATTTTCCATTCAACGACATCGTTTTTATTTATATTTGTATAGTATTGTAAATTTGAGTTAATTTAAAAATGCATGACCGATATTTAAGAAGTGAAGCGTGTGTTCTCAGTGACGACTACAGTAAACACAGAATCATTTTGAAATAAAATTTAAGAAATAATATTCACAGTGTCACGCTCCAGTTAATACGAACCACTCAATGGGCAATGGACCATTTGCATTATAGACTAAATTTTGATCTAGACAAAAATTTCACCACAGCTTGAAAGAGCATCACGAAATTAGTAATATTCCAAAGTTTCGTTGCAAAATGTTGTAAAATGCGGATAATATAGCCATGGGAAGTTTTCCGTTTTTCAGTCATTTTGTATTACGCACGGGAAATTGACAGTCCAAATCGGGTGTTGGGGCATCAAATTCCCGTTTTGTAATCTAAATGACTGAAAATTGCAAAGTTTGCAAAGCTATATTATCCGCAATTTACAACATTTCGCAACGAAACTTTGAAATATTACTAATTTTGTGATGCTCTTTCAAGCTGTGATGAAATTTTTTTCTAGATCAAAATTTAGTCTATAATGCAAATGGTCCATTCCAGCTATAATAGATCATATAGACTAAATTTTGATCTAGGCAAGAAGAACAAAATCCAGCTAGAAAGATCATGTTAAAATTAGTAAAATTGCAAAGTTTGGCCACGAAATGTGTAAAATGAGGAAAATAATAGCCCTACGAAAATTTGCAAATTTTGTATACCACATTAATTTTGGGCCGAAAGTGGTGCAAATTCCCGTGCGTACTGACAAATTAATACAAAATTTGCAAATTTCGCAGGGCTATATTTTCCTCATTTTACAACATTTTGCAACGTAATTTTACTAATTTTAACATACTCTTTCTAGCTGTACTGATGGATTTTTCTTGCCCAAATCAAAATTTAGTCTATAGCTGGAATTACCCATTACGCTAATATTGTACATGTTTAACTGCAAATTTCGCCAAGACACAAAAGAATCCCAAACATTTGAAATCGTCGTCGAATGACTAAATCCTAGCCCTAACAAATTATGCATATGTACATTTATAAAGAAAGTAGGACCATATTTAAATAGGTGATTCACAAGACGTACTTTGGCTAGTTTGGAAAACACGGAAATTTCGACCATCTTTGATCTCAAATAACCAAGTCAAAAAGTTTCGATTTATGGAGAAAAGATATCACGAGAAAGTTCCATATATTCTAAAGACATATATTGTAACAGCAGAGCAAAAACCTATAATGCGCGCTCAGCACAGCACATGATGTTGACTGCTTTATATAGCGAAATTTCTTGGACATTTCGCGTCATTTTTGGTTCGATTTTTGAAGTGCTCTAACTTTTCTTCATTTTTTGTTAAATGGCTGAAACTTCAGTAAATGTGTGGGTTTGGGTAGGTCTACAATATATATAAAATCGAGGGAAATTGAAGAACTTTCAGTTTTTCATATCTGCCACACATTTTGTGATTCTTGCAGGCAAGCTCTCTTAATTTGTTAATGGCCTAATCAACTTCAAAGTTGGTCAAAGGGAGAAAAAATAGTTTTGTGGATGCAGTTGAAAGAACCATTTTAAATTGGTTGTTTTGATTCAAAAATATAATTTCAATTAGTATTTGATTGACTGATTGTGCAAACTAACAACCAAAACAATGACATTGATTAATTCGATCAACTTCTTTTCTCAGTTGCATCCAGATCAAGCATCCAGATCATCAAGATTTGGGTCATTTTCGAAAGACAGATTAAATCGTACACGTCATGTAAAATTAAAAGAAAATTGATTGTATGATTTTTTTGATTAACGATTTTGAACGCGATTCAAGGCAGCACATGGAATCATATTACATATTAATAATACATAATTTTAACACGTGATCGAACTGGTATAGATCATGAAACGATTGGAAATCGAAAGTAGTAAGAATACTTTTAAATTCTACTCGGCATGCTTCAACAAAGATTTGAAACTTTCACTTATAACCATAAAAATTGCTTCACTCGTGAGCAGTATTCTCACTAACTTCCAAATTTTCGTCCAATCTCGTTCTCCAAGCCTGCGATCCTCAAGAAGGAACGTGAGGCTCTGGGATAACTTGTTGCCGGAAGCCAGGAATCCTGGCTAAGACCGAACTGCCCATTCGATATCGACGGCCAATCAGATTTCTCCCTGAAATGGATTATCCCAGTGTCTCACGTTCTCCCCGAGGATCGCAGACTCGGTGAACGAGATTGATTTTCTCCCTGATCTTGACTTTCCGTGGTGTGTTTTCCTTTTTTGGCATATGTGACATGCAAGCAGTCACATTTGCATGCTTGCACAAATGACTTCAGAGTAACCTTTGTTATATTTAATTTAGGACATTACCAAGACGTCGGACTGAAATGTACTGGAACAAGACTGAATCAGAATCTTCATAACATTTCGAGAAGCTTATTACATTTCGTTGGTAAAGGAAAATCGTCGTTGAAAAACGTTAGAATACACGCCGTACAGCAGTACCAGGCAGAAAATTTATCATTATCAAAATTTTCTACTTCCAAAGCGATCGTGTGTGATGGCAGATGTCCTCATGTCACAAACCTAAACATCACAGGTTTTGCGGCGGCTATCGAAATTCATAAATATGGTGACATTTTGTTGAGGAATATAAAGATTATGAACTGTTTTTATGGTGTTGTTGCGAAAAGCACCGGTATTAAAGCACTTTCAAAAAGTTACAACGGCACTGACATCTTCCGCTTGGAGAAAATTACAGTTAATAACTCCCATGTGGGTGTTATGTTGGAAAGTCATTATTCTCTTCCCATAGACCTAAGGAAAATTGCCATTACAAACTGTTATTCTGGGATGTTTGTTTCAAAGTCAATGTTCACAAAGGTTAAGATGTCTGAACTGTTGTTTGATACTGGCGTCAATGCTATGATAATAAGGACAACACCAGGATACTTTGAACAAGTCGATCTTTGTGATGACAGCTATTACCTCTACAATGCATCATTTCCCGTGGAAGTAATTCGTTCAGGCCGTGCTTCCCCTCAACGAAGTTCTTGTTCTATGGTGAGTTTATCTATTAACATAACGATAATCCGTTTAACTATAAATTTAACATTGCTTTTTTGACGTTTCTATCGCATACGGCTATTTCATGTCATTTGGTATACTTCTCACGATTTAATTTTGCGTACTGTACTTTAGTTTTTGCATCTACTGATTTTCAATCAAAAATGACGTTTCTTGCAAAATGTGTGTTTTTGATGGCAAATAACCTCAAGCAGGAACTTAATATTGATGGAATATTACTTGAAATTTGCAGTACATGCGTTTGTTGTCCAGGACAAAGTATAAATATTTGGTTTTTGAGTGATACTGTGCGCCAACGATCATCGTCAAATTTCAGTATTCCAGGTATTTCAGTGTAGCCTGCTCACAGACGTTGTAGTTCTTACGCCAAGCGACGAAATACTACCGTCTGCTTACGAAATACTACCGTCTGCGACGAAATACTACCGTCTTGATTTACCTTCCAAATTCTGGAAAGTGACGTCAGTTGATTTAGGAGCGGAATAAATATAAATATATATTTTGGAAGCAGTCGTCGGTTGAATTTTGGTCAAAATTGCACATAACTTGAATTTAAAGATACTGATACTTGTCCAGGTAATAAAATGCACCATTGATGGCGTCCATGATCAGATTTGGATATTAAAGATGTTCGGTTATATTTAAAACGCGGACAGGATTGGCATATTTTTAAAATATGCTGTATGAATCTAGGCCAGACAGCATCAAATGCCGAATATATTTCGCTGAAATTTGAACTTTTGTCGGATGTTTATCTTTATAAGACAACAGAACTCGGAAGACAGAAAACTTTATATAATACTGTGGCTTAGAAAGCGAAATATTAGCTTCAAAGTAAACTAATTTGCTGTTTGAGCAACCATTTCTGAATGTAAACTGTAAACACAACACAAACCCGAGAAACGTGTATTAAAATTGCGCCGTGATGAATTTTTCAATTCGCCCAAACTTCGAAACGTTTATACTTAGAAGTTTTCGTCGAAGTCATGGCATATAGGAAGTATCAAGAGCAACATTTGGACATATCCTGCAGATATACTCGAGTTTCCCGATTGATTGTTTGTCATTGACATTGTTAACAAAAATTTAAATTTCGCTTACTGCATTGCTTTAGCACTTTACATACACCGATTGTTTGCTGAACATGCGAGAAGATGATCACAATATTATTCTACGTAAATGTCGTGAAGTTCAACGCTATAGTTTCCAAAATATATCCACGCAAGTAAACTAATTTCAAGTTTCAACCCAAACAATATATTCCAATGCATGTCAAGGGCTTTCCCCAGTAGCTAATCTCTCAATAAGGCGGCTTCCAATTGGCTCTAACTTTTTTTAACACTGCCAGATGATTGGCTCCTAAAACAAAGGGAATTGAATATGCAGCTCGGGTAAGCAGACGGTAGTATTTCGTCGCTTGGCCTAAGAACTACAACGTCTGTGAGCAGGCTAGGTATTTTGCTAAAATTGCTTGTTTTTCACCTTAATTTTCTCATACACACAGGTTGTGCCAATGAAATGTGATTAGATCAGAACATGTGCTTTTTTTCTAGTTTTTGCTAGTAGAATGTAAACTCGCCTAAAATATGAAGAAAGTATTGAATTTTGGAAAATTTCATGTGAAAGTGTAATTTATACGAAAAACGCGACTAAGAAAATGAGCATCGGAGTAATCTTATTCTGCTATAAGGGAGCGGTCATAAAGTGCTACCCCGGGGTGGAGGATATTGGGATGGGGTATGAAATTTTTTTCAGGGATCTGGGTGGAATATGAAACGAATTTATCACTTTAAAGAGAGGGTATGAAACAAAATTTGTTTGTTTTAATACATCACTGCCATTGTTGTCTCATAAAAGATTTGACCATTGCTCAAGTAGTTTCAACAGCTCAAATCTGTATCTCCGAAGTTAACCGGGGCACATGAACTATCGAACATGTTAGATATATCATTTATAAATAAGTTGAAGAGTGTCGGATGACAACAATGACAGTGTCACAGTGATGATGGTAAAATCAGTGATGTTGAAAATGTTTTGGATTGTTTATATGGGGAGGCAGGTCAGTTTCAGTTGTATATCTTTTCATATGGTACGAAAATGCCAG